TGAATGTCAATTGTATCGATAGCTATATAGTCTATAGTGTCATCATCCCGAGTATGATGGGGAAGAAAAATGAAACTCAGTAAAAACCTGCTTAAGTCATTCGTTTACCTGCTCATCAAACCATTCTTTATCCGACTAATATGCATTATTTGCACATCATCCCCAAGTTAATATCCAGTAAATCTCATGAATCATCTCATTAATCATCAGTAATTCAATAGTCACTATCATTCACTATGAATCACTATCAATGACTATTAATCACCATTAATCTACAGGGTTGATGGTTGAATCATTCCGAAGATGCTGAAACTGGTTCTCGCCTTCGCCTCTGCCAGTAGCTGCCCTGCCACTTCCCAGGCTGCGCCGCTTTCAGCGGCGGTAGCGCCCGCATAGAAACCGAAGGAGTCGCTGGTCTCCTGCGAATTGGAACGGTGCATGCGGGTGTCGACCTTAAACGGGGTGTGCCCACAATATCTTGATATTTTTGGCTATCTTAAGAGGGAAAATGGTGATTCACCATTGGAATTGGGTACTGTAGCCTTTTTTCAGACAAACCCATCCGTATTTTTTGGGGTATTTGATGCGCATAAATTGCTCTCAAACTTGATTCATCAACCCACTGATTGACAAACAAGACTTGTTGCAATTTATAGTTTATGCGAGGTGATACCTTTTTTGTTGGACAGGTGGCACAAAAATCCCAGCTGCAAAGGGGTCCTTTAAAAGAGGCAACTGGTTTCCCTGACAGGCTGATGGCGGTCCTGTCCGAGGTGCAATGCGACACGCCAAGGGCCAGTGCGGCAAGCATCAGCGGCTGCATTCACGCAAATTCCTTGGGAAGGTGAGGGTGTTGGGAATGTGTTGGATATCTGTTGACCATCTTGACCATCTTGACCATGGCCATCATGGCCATCATGGCCATCATGGCCATCATGGCCCATGCCATGCTGATTTCAAGGCCGACGGGTGCTCCCCAGTCATGTGCACATGAAGACCGATCTACAACCAAGCATCTGCAAGCAGAATTCTATGGAATTGCCTTATGCTCATACAATGTCACGACCAGGAGTCTAAAGCACCTATCATGGGAATGACCATCAAACATGGCTTATGGCCCATAACTGTGCCGCCAGCTCACATAACTAGCCTTGGCTTCCCCAACCTCCCCAAAAAAGGAAACAAGTAAGTATGCCTTGTATGTGTTTCTCTTGCAGGGTATTTCCTTCCCATTTATATACGCCCTAAAACTTCTAAACATCTATCCCTTCGCTACCATCTGAGCTATATCCCCGGAAATACTGGCCGGTAAATAAGCGTCCCGTCAATTATGGGTTCGTTCAGTTTCCAAAACCCGAAACCAACCTGGATATTCACCAATCAACCATCAACCATCTATTATCACACAATATATAAAGCGTAATTACATATTATATATATAGATCACTTATGTTTGATGAAAAAAAAACATACAGCAGAAATTATGGTGAAATGTCCATCAATTTCCCCTATTTCATGACCAATCAACACCAGCTGGTTTCCACCACCACGCGTCCATCGCTGAGTCGTTGGACCATGGCTGCCTGTAGCAGGCCCACTGCTGCACTCCAGGCTGCGCCTGGCTCCGATTGTCACAGCATGTCACAGCTGAGATGGTGGATTTATTTCGGGAATCTAGGAGCGCACCAGCACCGCAACTGAAAATATGGCTGTATGTATGAATGGATGGATGGTTTTGTGTGTGTGTATGTGTATGCATATGTATATTATGTATATGCATATGTGTATGCATATGTGTATGCATATGTGTATGCATATGTGTATGCATATGTGTATGCATGTATATATGTATGTATATATGTACGTATGCATGCATATGTATATTATAAGTGTATGTATATGCATTTGCAGATGCAAATTTAATGTACATGCATAGGTATAATATGTATAGGTAAAAAATGTATATGCGTATGTAGATGCAAAGGAAGATGTATATGCATAGGTATATGTATATGTATGAGTATATATTATATGTATGTGTAATGCAATGCATTGCCATGTAATGTCGTGTCATGTCATGCAATGTAATGTATGTGAAACATATATATATATACTATATTTACATGTGTAAATTCACCTGCAAAAACTCCAGGATGTTCACATCAAAATAGCAAGTGGAAATAGCAAGTGGATCTTCATCCCCGCAAAATTATATGGAAAAAAATAAAAGGTTTAGACCCATCCCCATGTCAATGAAACATGTAGTCCCCTAAAAATATAGAAACATAAATTACAAGTTGCCACTACTTTAGCGGGATTTATACACTAGTAAGGATTTTACTTTCTATCTTTTTGGGGTATTGCTATAATGAAACACCCTTGATGTGACAGCAGATTCGATTGCAGCACGCACCCGTCTGCCTAACTTTCCCAGCAGTGCAGTGGTGCCAATGGCATCCTGGGGGATTTTTCAGCGCCAGTCTGCAACAATTGTTGAAACCCAGAAGGTGGGCCAAACTGTGCATTGCTTTGATACCCATGGAAAAAATTCTGACCCAATGGATCTCTCCCTTCGGGGGTATTCATTCGATCTAGTTGCAATCCTATTTCTGTCAATGACGTCCTTATGGCATCTGTTTCGTGTAATAAACGCCCCAACCCTGGCAGCACACCTCCATAGCCAAGGCTAGGCCTAAGGACCATGGCCCATTCAGCGCGCGCAAAGTGTTGCGCAGGGTTCGATCCGCTGACCTGTGAAGCTGTGCTTTCGTTTGTCAAAGTGAATCAATTTTGTGAAATAGGATATATAATATATATATAATACATATTATTATACATATTGTGGAAAATATCGCGACAGAAAAGTTAGTAACCACATACAATATTAACCTATATATAATAATAATATATAATAATACAGTAGTAATAACAACCATAGTGATATACACAACAGTGGGGATATTAACCACAGAACAACCCAATATATGGAACATCTCCAGTTACACGCGGGCTTGTGGTCTGTACATATAGAGAGAGAGAGGGTATTATTTACGGTTCAAATCACTTATTATTAACAAATGATTTGGCCTTGTCATGGTTTGTCACACAGTTGTATCCACACGGATACCATCTTCCCTTCAATAAGAACTATCTACTACAATGATAGTGATGGCCTCCTTCCAGTTCAAAACGGACTCATAGTGTATGTATATATTATATATACCCTCTGGTAATTTAACGTAGCTATTGAAAATGGCCATTTATAGTTGATTTACCCATTAATAATGGTGATTTTTCATGGCTATGTTAGTTTACCGGAGGGTATATATAGTTATATATAGAAAACAAATATGGAGGTTCCCCCCAAATCATCCAAATGTTCATAGGATTTTCCATTACAAACCATCCAGCTATTGGGGACTTTACCATGACTATGGAAACCTCCTGGATTTCGCTGGATGAGACCGACCTGGATAGAGCTGAACTCTGAATTCTGATCGCTGGATCTTGTCTCTGTGCCGGAGAGCCAAAAAAATATGAGTTTATAAATTTTAAGTGTATTAATATAACATATATAACATATATGATCATCCCCAACCAACCTGCTGTGGCCCCAGTGCCATCTGTTGTCGACACCAAGGGACACACCACTGGCCAGCATTGTGTCATAGATGTGGGCAGCCAGCTGCCAGGGGTCCTAATGATAAGATGCTGGGACATGCCATCATGTGGGCTCAAGTTTAACATGGAATGGCTGATTATTCAAGATAGTCCAGAAGTTTAACAAATGTATGTATGTATCTATATTATATATATACACGATTATACACGCATGCAGACAAGACATCGCAGGGATCAAGAGGGGCACTGCGGGCTTCCCATATTAAAAGATACTAAAAGTTGGATGGGAAAAAGTCCCAACAAAAAAAAGCTGGCAGGTCAACTTTGTTGACATGGGTCACATAGGTGTCACATAGGTGTCACATAGGTGTGTCTGAAAATGGGGTATACCCACCAAATGGCAATCCCAATAGGGAAAATAATGACTACAGTGACATTGCGTGTTTTGAGGTATACCATACTTTCAGACAAACCCGTATCCAAATCGAGCTCTTGGGACCTCCTGCAGGTTGCACATCACTTCGTTGCAATGCACCACATTTGCTTCAACCTGGCGATGGCAACGAGTCTGTTACAGGGACTGTCGGTTTCACTTGATCCATCCATCTTCCAGGAGAGATGGATCAACCTGAAATTTGAAAAATGGCTGGGCCTTGTGGGTCACGAAGTTGGAGAAACACTCAGCTAAATTAGCAGCAATAGCAAAAAGCATCAAAAGGCAGAATTTCGGATGTAATATCGCCAACCCGACACTAAACCATCTCCAATTTTGCTAGAAAGGGGTGCTCACAATAAAACCTTAGGAGGTACATTTAGGGTTTTAGTATGTTTTAATATGCTTTAATGCCACATTACAAGAATCATGTTTTTTGTTTGCACCTCCCTCTGTTACTGATTCCTCCCCTTGCTAACGCAAGGCCTGGGTCTGACAAATCTCTTCAAAAATCTGCAGGGCAAAGATCCACTGCCTCAGAGTTTGGCTGGTTTCGCTTCGGCTTTTTTCGTGGCACTCAAGAAATGGCAGCTGTAGAAACACTAGGCTCAATGGGAATTTCAGGATCCTAAAATGGAGGTACTGTACCATATTTCTGGCCATATTTTGGGGGTATATCCCCTTACATAGCCCTTACATAGGCCTTATATATGGTAGGTACCTCCAATTTAGGTTCCTGAAATGGCCACCGATAGGAGGCTTGCTGTTCAACATGATGTTTGTCAATAAATACTCGTGGGAGAATCAGAACCATGAGAATTTGATAGCAACCAGAGTCACCAGCTGTCCATCTGAACAATTGCGGAGTTGATCCTGTCAGTTGGTACCCGCCCCGTTTCAACCCTTGATAAATGGGAAAATATCAGGAAGATATTGGGATGTTTTTTCCTCAAGCCGCACCAGTCTCAGATATGAAGTGTCAAAGCTTAGACTCGAAGAACTTCCAACCCCACCAGGTGGCAGGCGGTTCTTGTCTGTACAAAATGCTATACTCCTTCAACCGCTCAGAAACGTCCAGACCACAGGTACGACAAGCAGCAACATCTTGATATGCTGACATGTCCCTCCGCGGAGCAGGCTGGAGCAGCTCTCTCTTCACATTTTGCACAAAGCCATTCATACTCAGAAACTGGTGCACTGTAGGCTCACCCCATTCATATTTGGAGCTGCTATCTAAGTCACACGGCTGCGCTTCCGGATGTGACAAGATCCAGTGTTCGTTTGAAAACCTTCCCACTCCGTAGCAGTTGTCTGCCAGTCCACCTGGTGGCGGGCAAGTATCTGGCTCATCGTTTCTTTCTTCCAAAACCACCTCCATCGCACTTTCAAACAGCTTGGGCTCGATCAATTTGGAAATATAGCTGCAGCGGGCAGCCCACATATTGCCAGGTAAATGGGCAAACGGGAGCGGGGACATTCTTGAACCGCATGTGTCGCATGTGTTGGGCATCAGCCTGCACTCCTCTGAAAGAGCACCGGCTTGAAGGTATTCTCGCCATGCAGATTGGGCAGGTTTGTCATGGTAGGATCCCTTGGCATGTAAATACACAACCACCTCGGAGGGATGCGTACTGTTGAAACTGCAGTAAGACCAAAGCTCCTGAAGAGTTGTATTTTCTTGGCCGTCTGGTACATGAAGAAAACCACCATCTTTCACAATTTTCAGGTCGTCAATGGCCAACACCGAGGGATCTTTCGCAACTCCATTGGAAACAATCTGAAGGTGGTGACGTTGTGGGTCCAACTGCAATAGTTGTTGGCGAACGATCGAAGAAACTCTCGACATATTGATGATTGAGCCCACATACAAATTGTAGTACACTCTAAGTTTTCCTGACGAAGAAAAGGAGTGCGACAAAGATGATGTAGTTTTCAAAGAATCCACCTGAGCCATGGTCAAAAGTCTTTCATTACGGCAAACCTTACGAAACCCGGGAAAAAACATGTTAGATCATGCTGGATGATTTGTTTCCAGCCCAAAGAACTAAACATGTAAAATATGGGGACAAGTTAAACGCTGCTCACCTGAAGCAAGCACTCGGTCCCATCATCCGCCAGCACAGAGGCGGCAACAGCAAGGCCGGCAATCATCAAATTTGCCAACATTGCTTTGACGAAATATGAATTGAGATATATCGAGATGTATCGAGATGTTTGAACCCAAACAGCTTGAGCGAGACAAGATTGGGATTGGCATGGATTGGTTTTTTGGGGGGGGGCAAAGCCACCAAATCCACCAATAAACCGAAACCGAACAATTTTGGAGGGTATAGACTTCCAAGATCTTACAAACATTTACAAACTGTTTCTGGTGAAATCTGATGGCTTAGATTTCAGCTTTACAACGCTAGCTCTACATTTGTGGCAATTCCAGCAGAGGCACCCGCGGCACGACTTCATGGCATCGTTGAAACCTCAATAGGGGGCCGCGGGATGCGGAAAAATTCCGGGTTTGGTGGTTGGATATGATGAGGATACCCTCTGGTTATGTCAAAATAGCTATTGAAAATGGCCATTGAAATAGTTGATTTTCCCATAAAAAATTGTGATTTTCCATAGTTATGTTAGTTTACCAGAGGGTACCCGATGCCTCATGTTCAGGTCCAAAGCCATCTTTTCGAAACGATGATGAAGCCCACTGATGTGGCTTTTCCATACTTGGCTACACAAAGAATTCCATAAGAATCCCATAGGTCACCAAGAACCAGGATGCCCCAAAACATGCCGGTCAAATACCACAATCATTCCAAGAGGGGAAAGGGACAGGAACAAATCCACCCCATTTAACGATCATTCGATCAATCAAAAACCAACAGCCAACCAGTTTAACTTCACATCTGCTGGGTGGGTTGGTTTATCCCAAAGCCATCTTCTTTCAACAAGTCCCGGACCTGTGGCAAAGCCGTTTGTTCATAAACCGGGCCCCCATCCCGAACATTTCCATAGATGGTGGGAAAAACACCATCCCCAAACCCATAGGATCCATGGTGCTGGTATATATGCTACATTTGGGGTATATTGATGGTAAATGTTACCATATATGGCATACATGGATCCTATGGGAAATGCTAGCTGCTAGCTGACTCAGCTCCCAAACACGTCGAGCCACTGAAGGCATCTGCGTCAAAGCCGTCTGTCCTCAGCTTCCACAAGCGCCAAATGCTGGCGTGCCAGGCCAAGCCGCTGGCGCGTGCAGCCAGCAAGGTGTTGAAACCTCGGTTTTTTTTTACCGGGTTGGGGATAGTATGGGATGGTGGGACATGGAACTTAGACGAAAATTAACCAACTGGCCTGGAAATGATTTGATTGATTTTGATTGTATCATATTGTATCTCATATTCAAATGGGCTTCATATGTCTTCATATGCCTGTACATCATCTCACCATGTTTTGCTATATCACTCTTGAGGTTCCGACCGTTCACTCCCCATTCTTGGGGGCTTCAGGTCCATTTTGCTATATCACTCTTGAGGTTCCGACCGTTCACTCCCCATTCTTGGGGGCTTCAGGTCCATTTCAACCCGTTTCACTGCCATGCAGATGCTGCAACACCATACCCAGAATCCAGCATAGGGTACTGCACTGATTGCTGGACTAAGTTGCATCTTCCATGTACTGACAGCTATCATCTACAGGACTGCCATTGCCAAAGTTGATCCTCATGAATTTGAGACTATGCTTTGATAGTAAATTGATGATAATTACCACCACAAGTGAGGTGGCCCTCACTTTAAGTGTCACAAGAAATAGACCGAGAAAGATATGTCCTGTCCACAAACAACAGCTATGGCACGTGGTCCCATGATCATTTTGCCAAACAAACAACCTGTGCCTTTAAGATGTTATATCTATATACATAGATACAAATATATCCATACATATATTGATATTTATGTAATGGTCATTGCAGTGTAAGATATACATAATGTAATGTATAATATATATATATATATTACATCTCTCCGCATGCGCGTGCGTAACTTTTCAGATATGCAAGACTACGACGAAAAACCGTGAGAGATTCGAGATTGCAAGTCTTCCAAACTTTTCCAAACGCGTCCAGAAATTGATCACTTGGGCTCCAGGCTTCTCAAATCTGGCTTGCTGGAAGCCTGAGAAACGGGAACCATGGGCGACCAATCGCGTTGCAGCCGGCCAGTCTCTGAGATGACCACAATTGAATGAGATCCAGCAGACCAACCATGTTTTTATCCAAGACCTATATGGGGGTGTCCTAAAGTATCCCCAAAGCCATGGCTTTCAATACTAAAATCATATAATTTTGGATGATTTGGGGGTACCCAAAAATCAGGAAACCTTCATATTAAGCAAACCCCCTATAGGTAGAAAAAAGTTTGAAACCTGGAAACCTCTCTCTCTCTGTATGTTCGATATATACTATTATATACTATATATAATTACGACCCACAGATAGCTCATAGATAATCCATAAGTAACCCATGAAATATTGAAATGTCACATGTAACCCGATGTTAATATCTAATAGGATTTATATAACCCGCATATAACCCATTCTCCCACCATTTTCCAGGCCTGCCGCATCTTGCACAGCAACAGCTCACCACTCCGCCACTGCCCGGCGCGACGCTGCGCCGTCAGCACCGCGTTGTGGTGCAGCCTCGCCAAGGGGGCGCTGCCCCCTTGGAACTACCAGGCATCATAACCCTTGGTTTTAGCTAAGAATAATTGTTAAATCATGGTTAAATCATGCTTCAATTTATAGTTGTTTATAGATCAATGACCATATTTTCATGGATGATATTGATCCATAAGGGGGGCTGGTTCCTGACAGAAACATCGATGAAGAATGGATCGTTGGAATAGTGTGATGATTTCAGGGGATCTTCAATCTTGTACCCTGTTGGCTCAACTGGTGTTTTTAATAGCCATGGGAGCCAACATCTAAGAGGCTTAAAAGGCTTAAGAAACATCTCTCGGAGCAACGCCTCTAAAATAAGTAGCCCAATTTTATACATCTTTATCCAACAATACTGAGCATTTCAGCAGGGACGACACCCTCATGTGGATGACCACTGGAGTCTTGTGCAGCTGGGCCGCCTATCCGGTTGAAGCTCTTGCTGACGCAACTGATGCAACAGCCTCGGCCGCACGTGTCTTGAAATGCTCACACGAGCATGACACATGATAATTACAGTATGTAATGTAAACATATACGTGCATCTGCGCGTGCATGTGCAGAGGAAAAATCCACACCACAATATATAATACTAACACGTGAACAAAAACTGAAGAGTGAAGAACTTGTCACTTCCCCCGTGCAGACCAGTAGCTCTTGCGCTGCTTCAGGCTGCTGGGTCCTCTGTTAGAGGGTCCGGCAGGCCATAATCACGCTGGTTATGTTCCCCACCGACCCATGGCAATATTGATAGGATATGTTCAGGTCTATTGAGGCTATTGATCGATATTGAATCGATATTCCCGTTTTGGGGGAGGAAAAATATACCATGGGTTTCATGCCCAAAACCATCATCTTCCGGGGGGTTAGGGACGGAACGGAACCTTTAAAAAACTGAGGTAATTTTACATAGCTATGGAAAATAGCTCTGTTATAGATGATTTACCAGAATTACCTATATTGAATCCTATCTAAAATGTCGATTTTCCATAGCAATGTGCAAAGATGGTGTTGTTTTTCCTTCTGAATAGGTAAATCATGGTAAATCATCTATAAGTTACCCTCTGGTACACGACCATGGCACTGGAAACGCCTCTATAAATGAAGGTTTGAATGGCGTCCTTGCCAGGTGCTGCAGCTGCCGCATGGCACCATAGGGCTCCATGGCGCCATGGCTTTGACGGTTCGATGGCGGTATGATGAGTGGGACAAAAAGATGAACTTGAATGAAAATGATGGAAAACTCGTGGACATAACAAGGTTCTCCCAATTTCATCCACTTTAGAATCTTGGTTCAGGATAAGTATATTGCTGGATGCAATATGTACATATATGTACAGTGACCTACATGTAAATTGCATGAGCCCAGCACACTTTGAACCACTGGGGCTGTAGCCACTGCGAAGATTATGCCAACATCAAAGGAACAGTGTGAATGTGCAAACTGGTCAATCGACATGACCTGATATTTGGGATGGTCATCCACCTTTCTTGGGGATTTTCAATCTTCATTGAGCTAGTTTAGATGAATTTGGCAATGAACATATCTTGTCTTTGACTCACTGGAATGATCGCAGACCAAGACCACTTGCCTCGGACAAGGCCTCTAATGCAGCCTGTCGGACTTTGGCGTGCCAGTCCTGGAGGCCAAAAAAGGGGGATTCCAACGAGCAGTTCTGAGTCCTCTTTTTGCAAACATGATGGCGCTTTGGTAACAAAAAAATATCGGCAATTCTGTAAAAAAACCATGTAAAAACACTCATGATCTGAAGATTCTGAAGTCTTTGGATCCCTCTTCCCATTCCAATGGGGGCGAAGCCTGCCCGTTCTGGGCTCTTGCCCCTAATGTCCATTACCTTTAAATACCCTCATCTGGGCCCCCACTTGGTTGAGAGCCACTTCTAAACCAGCGCTTTCCGAAGGTTTTGAACCATTGGGACTAAAAGGCCTAGAGATGAATTACAAAATACACATGTAGAGGAGTATATTTATATATATATATATGTATATATAATATATAAATGTGACATTTCCCAACCTCTCGGGCTGCACCCTCAGTTGATCAGCCAGCTCCTCCACACTACCAGCTAAGGCAGCCATCGCCCCATCATCACCTTCTGCGGAGGGGTAGGTAGGGGGATGGGCCATACCACATTTTCATGGCTTGTACATACACATACTATCAGTATATAATATATATATATACAAATGATGGTTATAATAAAGATATCTATAATAAAATGTAGTAAAACACTCACACCTAAAGATATCTATCAATTAAATTGGTTATCTATGGTTATCTACAGTATATGTAGTTAAAATATGTTAAACCAGGTTTATATAAATGGGTGACATCACCTCAGTTTTTACAACTGCTGATGGAAAAAAAATCAACATACTGGGGTCCAGCCTCTTCGAGCTGGCTCCACCAATGCCTGTGGCGCCCCAGGCACAAACACACGCATATGATCGCATATGCATATGGCATACATTATGTATACTGTATT